ACAAGACGCAACGTCCTATCGCGGTTGCTCGATTGAAAAATGACTACATTCGGTGAACACGACCGTTCAGTAGAAATTATTTATGATCGATGTATCAGAAGTACCAAAAGTATCTAAAAGTAAATCACTCAACCGTTTTATTCGCAATAAATGTCTCTTACACCCTTTCTTCGCGCTTTCTCATCCCGCTCAAGCCGTACGAAATAGACTGACCATTGCTGCAAGAGGGATGAAGTCAGGATTAGTAAAGGAGGATAGTAGAGAGTCAGATGCTTTTCTTGGATAATTGTCCACTTGGTAGAAAAAAAATTATGAAGGAGAATCGATCGTGTGTAATCAAAGCATCCTCTATCTTTCTTTCACTTTCTTTCTCTATCTTTTTTTGTTTCTCCTACACTGAGAGAAAAATTACATTAAAATCAACAAATATTTCCTTGATGGATGCCATTAACATATTTACTTAAATCTGCATTATCTTTTATTTAAATCAAATATATGGGGTAATTATGTAGAATAAGGATTTTTCCGAATTTTGATATTTTTTTGCTGCAATCTTGATAAATATCTTTGTTGTTATTCCAACATTGATAATCAAATGGGGGAGCCGAAAAGTACGTAACCTTTCAATGTTTTTAATTATTTCTCTCTACGTAGCTTTTCGAGGTTTGTGGCATCTCCATTTTAATTTGCGATTGTTAAACTTTAAGTTAAGTAACTTTAAGTTAAGTAACTTTAGCTAAAATACAACAGATTTGCGCCCCCCCCCCTCCCCCGCGATACGGGGAGTCTGAAGGGCGTAGTCCCCCAGTTACACGGCTAGAGACAGGCACCTTTTTTATTTTTTATCATATTTCAATAATATAAACATAGCTATATGGCGGTCGCTTACAGTTTCCGAGATATTAATAAAAAAGATGCATGAAGAAGCCTGTCATTAGCCGTGTAACTGGGGGGCTACGCCCCCCAGACCCCCGTACCGCGGTCGGGAGGGAGCCAAGTCTGTTGTACTTAAGCTAAAGAGTGAGAATTTTTCACAAAAGTGAAAGGAAAAGTGTGTATTTTATAGGACTGTCTTGAAAAATTGCGTTACATTCATACTTTCTTTGTTAATAATTTTTTAACAAACAATGAGCGACGGCTAAAACCTTCAGATTTTTTAAATCATTGCGCTCGATAATGAATTAAACCGCGATGACGAAGAAAACCGCGGTGACAAATGAAACAGGCATGATTCATAATAAAAGAATTAGCCAAATCGGTTAAAAATGTTGTTGAAACATGTTGTTTCAAGCAATATTTGTGTTATATAGTAAAATGGATGATACTAGTTGTATTACTTACGTACTTTTATTTTTGTTTTGTTTTATTGTTATATTACTGTAATATGGCGTTAATTAATAATTAATTAATACTTTTTTATTGTTTATGACTGCATATCTTTAAAATACGATTTAAAAACCCAATGTACAATTTGAAGACCCGGTCTCCAATTTAAACAAAAATTCAATATTTATTTTTGTAAAAATTATTTTTTTATATTACCAATAAAGTAGTGTTTGTCACTAATAAATAAATGTTCTAATCTTTTCAGTACTTTGTTGCAATTTCAGTCTTAAACCTTAAGGGATATGATATTCTACAAGCATATGTTAGAAAAAATAGTTAAAAATAGATAGTTTACATATTTTTTAGGCTCCCCCATTTGATTATCACTGTTGGAATAACAACAAAGATATTTATCAAGATTGCAGCAAAAAATATCAAAATTCGGAAAAGTCCTTATTCTACATAATTGCCAAATATCGTTTACCTGATTTAAATAAACAATATTAGGTTTAAATAAAGAGAATGTAGATTTAAGTATGTTAATGGTACTCATCAAGGAAATATTTGTTGACTTTAATATAATTTTTCTTTCAGTATACGTCGCCCTCCTGGAGTACCTCGCGTGACAGAGAAAGCATTTGACTCGGCGTACCTTCGTCCTCCGATCTTGTTGTCATTAGACTATAATCACACTGCCCCTCGGGCGCTATGACGAGTCAAGTATCCGCTATCGTACCGACGGCAAAGCGAAGCCTGTCACTGTGAGAGGCAGAAAGCCAAGTTACCGACAGACGAGTGAACGAGCGAGCGAGCGAGCAACCGCGCGAAACGCTCGAGGTGGTAGGACCCGACTATCAAACGGAATTCCACGCTGTACGTAAGCGTCTTTGAAACTTTTAACTATGCGAGACACGACTTCTCCCAACTACCTACGTCGCGACAAAACTTAGGGCGCTTCGCTTCATTACCAGCCGACGCGAGTCACTAGCCACGTCTGAGAGGAACTTTCCGAGGTATTTCGCGGCAACTTGTACCGAACTCTTTATTAATAGATCGTCCTGTGTACGCGAATAAACAGAACGTCGACGAAATTGTCGTTCGCTCGCGGACGAAGTGATCACATTGAGGAATATCAATTTAGTCGTCGTCAATGTATCTCTCTCGCAGCCAAAATAATACAATCGCATCCGTGAACGGAATCCTCTTGACCTCAAGAGAATTATTCTAAAACTAGGGAAAAGATATTCCAGGCATAACATTAAAAGGGAAATATACTCCTCCGGTAACAGTTTCCGCAGGGAAACTTTGATTGCATTGACATGAAGTTTGATAAACAAACCAACGCGTTTTGCTCGAAAGACACAAGATTTCTTATGACCCAAGTTTGATTCTGAGAATAAAAAATTCCGTTTCCTTCAACCAATACGCGTTGACTCGTTTGTAACAAGCGCGAATTTCATGTCAGAACAAACAAACTTACCTCTCTCTTCGCGTGAATATAGAAAATTATTTATTATTATCTCCAGTTTTTTATACAAACAGAAAAATAACCTCACAAAAAACTCAACTTATATTAAAGCAAATATTAAATTCTAAAAAAAGTTAGAAATAACAACTTGCGACCAGAGTTCTTTTTTGTGAAGTACTGGGATATTTTCCTTTTGGTTTTAGTAGAATATCCCTTTTTTATCATATTTTACATTGTGTTATTATCTAGAAAAATATAGTTTACCTGCACATCTCACCACCATCACCTGATTTCGTCCCCTTGACTATGTGATAATTTAATTTAGACATTTTAATTAATTTAGATTTGTTCTAGATGTAAGAATCTCGAACAACGCCAGTTTAAGCTAGTGCAACATAACCGTAACGTAACATATATATAAGAGGATTCCGTCAAGAATGAGATTATATTTTTTATATAGGATTTTACATCTCGCCGACGCAGTTCTCGGGATGTTGTAGTGACGCTGAGGGACGTCACGTCGCGATTTCTTTCGATCTTGTCGAGTCTTTCTAAGTTTCGCCATACGACAAACTAAAAAAACCGACGCGAAACGAAGGAAGCTATGGAGGGAATTGCTCTCGAGAAACGCGGAATAATAGCGTACAGAGATGAGAGAACACGGCAAGAAAAGCGAGGAAAAATCCGACGAGATGATGCGGGGAGAAGGGCGGTCGAGGCGACCGGTTGAAGATCATCGTGACCGACTCTGTGCGCGGCACAGGAGAGGGTAATAAGCGATCGCGAGAACAGCGACTGGCAGAGCCACCCGCGGCCATTCGCGCACTCTCCGCGAAAAATGCGCGCATAATACGCACCACGATCGTCCTGAACGCGACATTTCAGGATCAGCCGGGATAATCGAGAAGAATTCGGCGGATCAGCGGAATTTGGCGAGATCGAGTGTTTGTTAATCCGATAAGTTAATTCTCGCCATTCGAATTTTCATGCGACTCGGCGAAAATATCGAGAAAAATATGTGCGAATGATCGTCTTTAAGAGAGCGCGACCACACTGAGAGAAAAATATAGGTGTCTTTGACGTCAACTATACTTTTTTGTGATTTTAACCAAAAAAATAATTAGAAGAACCATTTTTCTAATGACACTTACTAAAATGATGGTTTTTCTAACTATTTTTGTGGTTAAAATCACAAAAGAGTATAGCTGACGCCAAAGAGACAACTATATTTTTCTCTCAGTGCAGCGTCCTCTGACCACAAACTTCTATATATAAACTAGCTAATAGCCGTAATAAACTTGCTAATAGCCGTATTTAGCGAGTGGTTGGAAAAATATCGAGCGGCCATCTTTAAAAGAACCGTATCATATGGGAGTAGTAATGATACGCACTATAGCATATTGCTTCCTCCCACTCATACATTGCCACTCAGGTATGTGAGGTCCTTTCAAGGATGGCGGGCGATATTTTTCCGACCAAATAATCCTTAACTAAACTATACCTATTTAGCAGTCTAGATATTATATAGAAGTCTGTGCCTCTGACGAGTCTATTTCGTCGCAAAGATGATTCTCGTCATCGCGCTTGCGTAACTCTCGTCGAATTCGGGGAAAGCTTGATGCGCGCGTGTGCGGAAGTACCCTCGTAACCGATTATACAAGGTTGCATCGGCGTTTCCGAATCGATTTTATACTTCTCGGAGGAGAAGCACGGCAATCACGCGGCGCGACAGACCGAAAAATTGAATACTCCCGAGTGCGTCCGATCGAGCCGCTGCTTCAACGATGAAATCGATGCCATTTTTTTCCGCGCATTTCCCAACCGTTACGCCGCCTTTGCATAACTGTGAGAACAAATCGATCTAACGGTGCCGGAAACCGCCGAGACTTCCGTCTATCCCCCGCGACCGTCGACGCAATACACCGCG